AGGCATCTCCTCCAACAAGGTCTTAGCATACAAATATTTTTTTTTAGTCCTCTCTTTTCCCACTCACCGCTTAGAGCCAGTTTTCACCTAAAAAAAAATAGATTTCTTAATATTCACTTTTTATTCCGTAGAAAAAGAGGGTAAGCTATCCTTTCAGCACCATTAAACTGCCGCTTTTTTCCTCTTCTCGAAGGTATCATTTAGAAAGTCATACTTTTCAGGAATTTTGTTAAATATGTCTTAGAGTCCTAGGAACCAAGAAAGACTTTCTCCTCTCAAGCACTTTCTCCACTTCCTCCTGCGCATTCTTACCCGGCTGCCAGCTTCTTTGTGGCGGCCATTACGGACCGCCGCTGCACCGTCCTGGGAAAAGGGGGTTCTGCCGGCCGGGGAGGGGGTCTGCAACACCCCCAAACCCTTCTCCGGATCCCCCCTACCTTCAGCTGCCCCTGCAGGGCAGCCTAGCTCCGTACCCGTCTGGGTCGGAGCCCCAAAAACGGCTAGCGCGGCAGGGATCGCGCAGCTTCGCAAATCCCTGCTGCTCGCGAAGCCGACAAACCGGAAACTCGACCTCACCCCTTTCCTAAGAGGCCTGTAAGGGACGTGCATAAGCGCATGAAAGTGCCTACCATTCCTGTCCTATTGATTCTTTTTATTTTTCTTATATGTATCCATTTCATGTATTCATAACTATGTTTATACTTATACCTATTATGTTGTAATCGATTGACAAATCAAATAAATAAAGATAACTCCTTCTTGCTTAAAAGTCTGTGCTGACCAATTGGCCCCCATCTTCACCCGAATCTTCAATAGATCACTAGCGATGTGCTATGTTCCTTCCTGCTTCGAGTGTTCTACCATCATCCCAGTGCCAAAGAAGCCCTCCATCAAGGAACTGAATGACTACAGACCAGTTGCTCTAACATCTGTAGTTATGAAAATCTTTGAAAGGCTTGTGCTATCCCACCTGAAAACCATCATAGATCCGCTGTTAGATCCCATGCAGTTTGCATACCGAGCAGATAGATCAACAGATCTGTTAACATGGCTCTGCATTACATCCTACAACACCTTGAATCTCCAAATACCGTGTTTCTCACATAATAAGGCCGGGCCTTATTTTTTTTTGACCCCCGAAAAACCGGCTAGGGCGTCTTTTCGGGGGTGACTTAATTTCCCCCCCCCCTTGCATCCTCGGGTGGGCGGGCGGCGACAGCTTGGATGTTGGGGAGACCTTCCGCCACCGTTAATTTCCCTTCTCCCTTGCTGCCGTAGCGTTACAGCAACGCCGCGGCGTTTGGCACAGCCACGTGCAGCCAGTCAGGGCTCCTCCCTGCAACCGGAGCCCTGAGGAGACACTTGGCTTCAGGCGCTCCTGTGGCCGCCTTCCCTTTGCCTTCGATGGTAAAGTGAATTATTTTAAAAACCTCCGCTCATCCTATCAGGGCCGTGCGAGCTGAGCAGAGCCGGGAAAGCAAACCGCGGGTGTTTCCTGGTCCTGCCCAGCCCGTACAGCTCTGCCGCGGCCCTGGCGGGATGAGCGGAGGTTTTTAAAATAATTCACTTTACCTTCGAAGGCAAAGGGAAGGCGGCCACAGGAGCGCCTGAAGCCAAGTATACCAACAACAAAAGGCAAATCCTCAAGGTTGGCTGGAGGGAGGTGGCTACGTGCCCCCCGGGCTGCTTCAATGCAAGGTCCTGACTTGCAGCATCCTGCCGTTGCCGCCGCGTCCTTTTCGCTGCCGCCTCCCTCTCCGACTGCAAAACTTGTGTGCTTCGCCAAACGCTCCGAGCGAGGCAAGCTCTTTCATACATAGAGAGAGAGGGAAAGACGCCGGCGTGCTCCGAGAGGCTGGCTCTTTTCTCTAGCCAAGGCTGACAGGAAGTGCCTCCAGGGCCGTGGCAGGCAAGCTGCGGGTGTTTCCTGGTTCTGCCCAGCGCGCACGGCTCTGCCACGGCCCTGGCGGGATGAGCGGAGGGCCCGGCGGGGAGGCACTCGTTGCCTTGGTGACATTTCGGGTGCCTCCGCCGCCTCCTCGCCCATCGCAAGTGGCGGTGGCGGCGGCAAGCGGCGGCGCTTCGCTGAGGGAAAAAGAAGACAGCGCAGCCACCTTGCTTGCTTTCCCACCTGCCCGCCCCAGATGGCCTCAGGAGCGGCGGCAGTGGCAGCAGGCGCGCACACTCCTGCCGGCAAAGGGAGGAGAGGCGAGGAAAGAGAAGGGAGTGCGGCAGCAGCGGCTGTCACAGTATCGTCTCATAGCGGGGCAAGGCTGGCAAGCTGAGGTGGCCGCACCAGAGAGCGTCACTGCCGACCCCGTCGTGAGGATAAAGGAGCGGGATAGAGATTCAGTCAGATGTCAGCCTCGGCTAGAGAAAAGAGCCAGCCTCTCGGAGCACACCGGCGTCTTTCCCTCTCTCTCTATGTATGAAAGAGCTCGCCTCGCTCGGAGCGTTTGGCGAAGCACACGAGTTTCGCAGTCGGAGAGGGAGGCGGCGGCGAAAAGCAGGATGCTGCAAGTCAGGACCTTGCATTGAAGCAGCCCGGGGGGCACGTAGCCACCTCCCTCCAGCCCACCTTGAGGATTTGCCTTTTGTTGTTGGTATACTTGGCTTCAGGCGCTCCTGTGGCCGCCTTCCTTTTGCCTTCGAAGGTAAAGTGAATTATTTTAAAAACCTCTGCTCATCCCGCCAGGGCCGCGGCAGAGCCGTACGGGCTGGGCAGAACCAGGAAACACCCGCGGCTTGCTTTCCCGGCTCTGCTCAGCTCGCACGGCCCTGATAGGATGAGCGGAGGTTTTTAAAATAATTCACTTTACCATCGAAGGCAAAGGGAAGGCGGCCACAGGAGCGCCTGAAGCCAAGTGTCTCCTCAGGGCTCCGGTTGCAGGGAGGAGCCCTGACTGGCTGCACGTGGCTGCGCCAAACGCCGCGGCGTTGCTGTAATGCTACGGCAGCAAGGGAGAAGGGAAATTAACGGTGGCGGAAGGTCTCCCGATATGAAGTGCTCCACCAACGCAGGCAGCACCATATCCGGGCATGCAACAAAGTACTTCCTAACGGCAAGCCCCCCCCCCCACCATCCCCCCCCATTTCGCATGTTTAATATGGGCCTTAATTTGGGGGGAGGGGCTTAATTTGATTTTATGCCAATAAATCATGCTGGGGCTTCCTATTGGTGGAGGCCGTATTGTTGGAGAAACACGGTACCTATGCTAGGGTCCTCTTTGTAGACTTTGTAGACTTCAGTTCAGCATTCAATACCATCATTTCAGACACTCTTCTAAGTAAATTAAACCAACTAGTGGTACCTGAACACACTTGTAAGTGGATCATAAGCTTCCTAACAGACAGGAAGCAGCAGGTGAAGCAAGGCAGAATCACATCCGATACCTGTACAATCAGTACAGGGCCACCCCAAGGTTGTGTGCTTTCTCCACTTCTCCCTATATACCAATGACTGTATCTCAAACGATCCATCTGTTAAAATACTGAAATTTGCTGATGACACAACAGTGATTGGTCTCATCTGAGACAACGACGAATCTGCATACAGACAGGAGGTTATACAATTTGCCTCGTGGTGTAACCGGAACAATCTGGAACTGAACACACTCAAAACCATAGAAATGGTGGTAGACTTTAGAAGAAACCCTCCCATACTACCACCTCTTACAATACTAGACAACACAGTATCAACAGTAGAGACCTTCAAATTTCTCAGTTCTATCATATCACAAGACCTAAAATGGAACCTAACATCAAAAATGTCATCAAAAAAGCACAACAAAGAATATTCTTTCTGCGCCAACTCAGAAAGGTCAAACTGCCCAAGGAGCTGTTGATCCAGTTCTACAGAGGAATTATTGAGTCTGTCATCTGCACCTCTATAACTGTCTGGTTTGGTTCTGCAACCCAACAGGACAGACACAGACTTCAGAGGATAATTAGGACTGCAGAAAAAACAATTACTACCCACCTGCCTTCAATCGAGGACCTGTATACTGCACAAGTCAAAAACAGGGCTGTGAAAATATTTACAGACCCCTCACATCCCAGACATAAACTGTTTCAACTCCTTCCCTCAAAACGACGCTACAGAGCACTGCACACCAGAACTAGACACAGGAACAGTTTTTTCCCGAAAGCCATCACTCTGCTAAACAAATAATTCCCTCAACACTGTTCAACTATTACAAAATCTGCACTATTACTATTAATCTTCTCATCACTCCTTATCGCCCATCCCCTCCCACTTGTATGACTGTAACTTTGTTGCTTGTATCCTTACGATTGATATGGACTGTTTCCTAATATGATTTGATTGCTTACTGTACCCTATGACTATCATTAAGTGTCGTACCTTATGATTCTCGACTCTTGACGAATGTATCTTTTCTTTTATGTATACTGAGAGTATTTACACCAAGACAAATTCCTTGTGTGTCCAATCACACTTGGCCAATATTCTATTCTATTCTAAAAAGTACAAGACCGATTTTTCCTCGGTATTTATCAATCTTAACATGGCAACCTCCCTATAAATCTTACTTTTGACTCTGGTTGTGGCTAATTTTTTTCTGCCACCAGGGATTTGGTAATTTCAGAAGTTGCAATATTTTCTTGTGTTCAGAGAACAACCTTGAATGGTACTCTATTGGAAACACGAGTATTTTTTTAGAAGCTCGACACAGATTTGTTTGTTTATCCAATTTATACAACCGCCCATCTCACCACAAGTGACTCTGAGCGACACACAATACTCTTTGAAGTCAAAGGCATTCTTTGCTGCCGATGACTCACCAAAAGAGGACAAACCCATGCTAAACATCCATCAACAACTTTATTGGCTGTTCAGAGCGTACATAGATTTTGTCACGCTGACTTTCCTGGGCGGCGCCCGTGAGCCAATAGGATGGCTGGGGGAGAGCGGGGCTTTCCTACCATTCCATTGTTCTGAGAAGACTTCCTTCCGCTCAATAGTAACTGTAGCGCGGACCGAACTCCGCTTCTCTGGAGATGGCGCCGCCGGGCCTCACCGCCAGCTGACGAAACGGTCGCTCGCCTCAGAAAGGCAATCCGAAGAGCCAATCAAGTGTCGGCGAGGGCGGAGCCGCGAACCCCGTTGCCATGGGCGGAAAAGACTGGAGCGGTGGCGTTTCGTTTCTCCGTCAAAGGGCTAAAATGGAGGCGTCTCTGAGGCGATTGCTTTTGCCGCTGTTGGTGGTGCTGACGGGAACGTCTTCAGCGATGGGCTGGGAACAGCCGGGTAAGGCGAGGAACGGACTCACCGGGCGACCCTCTTTAGGAAGCCTGCCTCTCGGTTCACGATGGTCGGGGAGGAATCGTGGCTCTCCGCGTCACTGACTTGACGCTGGTGTCTGATTCAGCGGGTTTTCACCTCGGAAACAGCATCTTTTCTAGGCTAGGAGTACGAGGGCCATTTCCTGATGCCCCGCGCAGCTTTTCATAGGGAAAGTGCGATGTACTGACGGGCGTTGGCCTTATTAAGGAAGACATTTTAGAAGCCATTTGTAGCATATGTCAGTCGTAACCAAACGCTGCAGGTTTCTTCGAAGACACTGGTTGGGTTCAAAGTGTCCCATTCATCCCTAAACACCCCCCACTGCAACGTGTTTATAACAGAATTAAATGTGTCAAGTCACGCTTGCACGGGATGTTGATTAACTGCCTTTTTGTTTTTGTTTTTATTATGTTGCTGCCCAGAATCGATATAACAGGTGTGAATGATGTGGTCTAGTGCAATGTGTAAATATGGTCATTGGGATGTATAAAAAGTGATTTAGGGTTTTCCCAATACTTTCCTTGGGGTTTATTCGATAAAATAGATTTGAAAGAAACCATGATTTGTGGGAATCCAGTCACTATTGAGGATGTTTTCCTAAGTAATTGCATAGGACATTGTGGAGCAAATTGAAGCTCTTCCTTCACAAATTCTTGAATATTATATACTAAAGAAACAGGGACAGGTACCCATGTATTGCTTGTGAAGTTCTCAAAACTTGTGGTTGACTACTTGATAAAATGGGATAATTGGTGAACAGATAAAGCAAATTTAATTAGAGAGCATAGATGTTAACTTTAATCTTAGATACATTCTTTATGAAAGCACATTCTATGTAATCAAAATATACAATCTAACAGAAAATACTGGTCTGTGTAGAGATGGACAGACTGACATTAGAACTTCAAGATAAGGGTGAGAGAGAATACTATGAAGTTTGGAATAAAATGTGCCAGTGGTTGGATTTGAGGAAAAGAAGTCGGAACAGAAAATATTGATGGTTTATAGGATTGAAGGTGGAAGATATTTAGATAAATGCAATGGAGTATAGTGGATAAAACGATTGTATAAAAAGAGCATAAATGAAGTCTATATTGTAAATATAAATATAAATGAATATGTTAATAGCATAAATGTAGCAATGTAGGATAAGTAGAAGGTTATCTGTTTTATGTGGTTTTATGTTATAGTATGCATGGCAAAGACAAATGCCAGGAAAGTTGCACTGTGTCCAACATTTTAATATTTATTCAATAAAATTTATACATACACACACACACACACACACACACACACACAAACCTAACAGGTATTCTGAGAATTTCTTTATTGGCATTAATAAACTCACAAAATCCTAAAATATGTATTTATTATCTTGCATCGTGTTTTACATAATTTATATTCTGTCAGAGAGAGTCCTATTGCGGGATGTCCAAGTCCTGACACTCTACCAGGGAAAGTACACAAATTATCGGAGGACATCTCCAATGCCCCAGTTGCAATGCACCGGAGGGTCAGCAGGATGTACAGCATATACCCCTGAGGTTGTTCAGTGTTACAACAAAGGTTGGGATGGCTCTGATGTGCAGGTATGTTTCTTTGTATATAGGAAAAAACGTCTTGTGGAGTGTATTTGTATAAATGTAACATTAATTAAATGGGTGGCTTTTGAAGACAGAAGAACAATTATATATATATCAAGGCAATACTGTCAATCTCCAGGAGGATGCAGTAAGTTTAACATTAAAAATGGGGCTGCAAGAGAGAAAAAATTAAAGTAAATCCATATTCCTTCAAAACAACTTTAACAAGTCATTTAGTGTTTTTGTCTGGCAGTACTTTGATGTGCATTCTTTCAACCTCTATTAGAGTTTTAAAGCTTACTTATAAGGTTTTAATTAGAATTTTTTTGAAAGAAAGGTATTGTTTTTTAAGTAAAATTACTAAAAATAATGTCAATTTTAAGTCAATGTTCAATTTTGTTATGTATGTATTGTAGAAAAATAATTCTCTTTTATTTTCAGTGGGAATGTAAAGCACATTTGGATGTATCATATCGCTTTGGAAAAATTGAAGTAAGCTGTGAAGGCTATGATTACCCAGCTGATCCTTTCATTTTAAAAGGATCATGTGGCTTGGAATACACATTGGAGTTAACTCAGAAAGGACAGCAAAAAGCTAACACCTTTTCTGGGACCTATTATTCTGCAACTTCTCACGATTCATTTGGTTCTGGATTTGGAGTGATCCTGGTAATATTATTTGTTGTTTTTGTTTTTGGCATCTACAAGCTATTCCTCTGTGATAACCGACAACATAATTTCCCTAATGATAATGTACATTCAGGATCCTATGGGCAAAGTTATCAAAGCCCACCTCCACCAGGATTTAAATCAAATTGCACAGGTAAATCTCTTATGTCACAACAAAACATTTATTAATAACATTGATAGGTAATCTACTTTTCAAATTCTAGGAAGTTCATTCATTATTAATTATCATTGTTAATGGTATCACTGAATTTTCTACAGAATTTTGTGTCATGTCTAGCCCATGCTCTTGTTTATATAGTTGGCAGAAATTTCAGGCACAATTAAAATAAGAACTCGTTCTGTTTCTGAGTTGGTCCTTTAGTCTAAAGTCTAGGAAATATACCTTTTAGAAAATAACAGGATAAAAAGGGATACCAATAGTTCCATATTGTTATACAGCAATGTTTAATTTAAAACTTTGGAGAGCTTGTAGGTCTCTTCAATTATCTGCTGAGGTATATTATAAAAGCTTTGATCACAAAGATTGTTTGATCTAAATCTATATAATTTTATTTAAATTAAGGAGCTGCCAGTGGGTCCAGCTATGATTCCAATTCTAGGCCAGGTTTCTGGACTGGATTAGGTGCCGGAGGACTTCTTGGATACTTGATTGGCAACCGAAGGTAATCTTGTCATCTCTTGCAACAATCCTAATTGACAGAAAGGGAATTGCTTCTCCCAAAGGAAAATATTTTTTCTTTCATACTAATAATACCATCAGTTGTAAACATGGAATGTTTTGTTTATATGTTGATTTTTAAAATAACAATAGAATATAAATGTTTTGAGATAGTTATCCCACTCATCACTACTGCAGTCAGCATTAAGGAGTAATGCCAGATGCAAAGGTGAATTGATGATCTGGCTGTCTACAGCATCCTTATTTTAGGATAATAATTTTTTGCCTATTAAAGTTTTTTAATAGTTGTCCAATTGGTAGGTATCTCTAGGAATTTTTTTAGAATAACTGAGAAACACTTAAGAAGCAGGTTGTCAGAATACATAGAATTCAGAACCCAGCAGTAATTGGCAGGGGTGGGATTCAAATTTTTTAACAACCAGTTCTGTGGGCATGGTTTAGTTGATGGGCATGGCTTGGTGGTCATGTGACTGGTTGGGCGTGGCCAACTCAACATCACTCACATTGAGGCAATCATCTCCTTGCCTAGCCTCATGACTGTGAGGATGCTGCAACAGTCCTAAGTGTGGAAAATGGTCATAAGTTACTTTTTTCAGTGCCATTGTAACTTTGAATGGTCACTCTACACAAGCAAAGGAGGAAAAAAAACTCCAAAGAAGTTCCTGAAACAGGAAGTCTAGTCCTGCCAAGAATGTAATAAGGGTTAACGGAGAGGCAGTTTCTGTAAGCAACACCAGAATGTTTCCTTCCTACCTTCCTGACAGGATTAGGCCAGTAATTTCTTCTAACAACCGGTTCTCCGAACTGCTTAGAATGTTAACAACCAGTTCTACAACCAAACAACCGAATAGGTGCGAACTGGTAGAATCCCACCCCTGGTAATTGGTGATAAATTTGTAAAAAAAAACCAAAAAACTGTCATTGACTCATGCAATACACTTTCAGTTATGTCCTATAGTTGTTTAATATTATATCATTAGGGAAGAAACTCCAGCAGTGATGTTAAAAATACAAGCTGCAGTTTCCAGAGAACAAAGATATAAACAGTTGTAAATTTTAAGGTGACTACTTTAGTAGTACCTGTTTTTCAAATCACAGGTTTTTCTAAACCCTTGTTTGTTTGTCTTCCTTTTAATAATAATGGTTATAATGGAAAAGAGTGTCAGTATTTTGATAAATTTAATAATTAAAGGCTCAGTTTGGTTATTTTTATGTTATTAAATAGATTCTCACTTCTCTTTTTACTTTTGTTGCATCTTAAATTTCTGTGTAAAAATATGATCATGTCTTTCATATTAACTATTTCTTTTCCATATTGAATTTTGCTTTATTAACTTAAACTTTCAGAGTTTTCAGTCTCTACCCCCACCCTTGGTTTTTCAGTGATAGTTGTATATTCTTCCAAAACCACTGGATTCTGACTTTTATTTTTAGTGAACTTTTTTTAAAAAAAGTTTTCAGCTTTTTGCATAAATTATGCAGCTTATATGACTTTTGTACTGAATTTGTATTGTTTGACTGCATTTTTAAAAATGTGTAAATTTGTTAAATTTTCCTACTAGCAATGTATACCTTAATGGTAAATCAATGTGTTCTTTGGAAATATTCCTTTTTAAATAGAAATAGAACTAAAAAATTACTGAAGAGATATCCTTAGTTTATTGGAATAATTGAATATATTCCAATTATTTACATATTTGTTCTATGATTATTTGCTAATAGCTAAAGAGCAACTTTACTTTAAATGGCCTTCTACTTCTTTTCTAAATTATTCATCTATTAACATTTTAATTTTGTACACATGCAAAAACACTAACACTAATTAACATAAATATTTTCTTCTAGGTCACCTTCAGATCACAGGTATTCTCCTTATTATAACACATGGTCTGGTCTATCTGCTCCACCTCCATTTACTGGTTCATTTGGCAATTCAAATAGCTGTTCAACATCTTACAGTTCAGAAACAAAACCCACCTCTGGTAAGTTATAAGCCATGTTGTGCTTAATTTTTGGGTTAACTGTGTCTGATATCAGCAATTTTCCAATTTAAAAAATCCTATTGAAAAGAGTTAGATTTGGATTAATGATAGCAAATTTTGGTTTTTAATCCTTTATTTAATTGTTTTTAATGCTTTTATATTTATGCTTTTATGCCATTGTAAGCTGCCCAAATTCACTCTGGATAATTAGACAGGTGGTATCTAAATTTAATAAATAATAAACTTTCCCCACTGCTTTTAATCAGACTTATATCTAGTTCTCATTGTGGTAGGCAATCTACACATGGTCTGTAAATCTTTTCTTTGTTTTGAAATGGAAATAAAGTACAAAACCAGATTTAGTACTTTATTATATGAATACATAATTTATTCCCATATATAAATGTTTGGAGTACAGCTGGAGTACATTATCAGTTTCAAAAGTATCCTATATTTAGTTAATTTTTAAGAAAATCAGTTAACATTGACTTTCTTGAGATGAAACTCTGCCATTACAATGATCTGTTTCGGGTTTTTTTTGTTTCGTTTGCTGCTAAATTTTTTAGTGTTGAATTTTAACAGATGTTTCAAAGTGATGAGTAAAAGGGAGATCAGGATCTACTAATAGATCTTTGGGTGATTTTAAGTACATAATTGAATAATAATTAGGTAGTCTAACAGCAGAAAGATTTCTGAATTAAACTGTACTACTTCTTTGATGTCTCAGAAGTGGATTTGCACAGATACACAAATCATCCTGTAGACCAGGATTTTCCAAATGGAGGTATATCTTCCTTGTGGACGTTCAGACAGAGTCCAAGGGAAGTGCAAGTAACCTTTCAATTATACATTGTTCAATAAATCCACTTTTCCCTTTCATAGTATCCTTTTTATTGTTCATTTCTGTTCATTGTAATGTTTGAATTTTTAGTGGAGGTGTATACATTAAGAATACACAAAGTAGATGTGATGGCAAAAAGTTCCAATTCATCATTGGAGTGGAGTTTCTTACTTTTGAGGGCTCTGCCAGCTAGCTGGGAGATCTTTTAAGTATTGTCTATCACTGTCTCTTCCAATAAGAATGAAGAGGGTGAGATTCAAAGGCAGAGAAACATAGGAAGGCAAGGTTTAATCATATGGAGGTTGGTTTTTATTTCTGTTTAATGCAGTTTGCTCAATTTCTCCAGTTTGGATTTGCTTCAATCCACTATTTTTCTTGTTTGCTTAAACTATTTACAGATTATTGAATGCTAGTTTTGGAATGCAGATCTCACCTTTGTGTAATTGCTACAGTTCAACTATTCTCTCAAATTTTTATTATGTTTTTTTTCCTTTTATTAAAAATATTTTATTACCGTATTTGCCGGCGTATAAGACGACTGGGCGTATAAGACGACCCCCCAACATTTCCACTCAAAATATAGAGTTTGTTATATACTCGCCGTATAAGACTACCCCCTCTTCCACACACCTTCCACTTTTGCACTTCTTTTTTTTTGACGCACTTTTCTGCTTTGGACAATTTTGAAATGAGCTAATCCAATTTTGAACCAAGAATATGCAAATAGCTATGGAGTTTAGAAATGAGTTTTAAAAATATTTTTCATTGCTTACCATTAAGCGTAAAATATGTTGTAAATAAAATGAGAACACAGGAAACGTTCTCTTCTCAATACAGCTGATCTCTCTCTCTCTCTCTCTCTCTCTCACACACACACACACACACACACACACACACACACCAAAAACCCGGACACTGAAAATGCCTTCTCTTTAATCAAGAAACAAGGAATTCCTTAGAATCTTTTTTTTCCCCCAAGTGGCCCTCTTTAAAAAAAAAAATGGAGGTAACACTTTCATTCAAAAAGTCTTCCAGTATCTGGAGTCGCTCAGACATATTGAAGTGAGGCAGGAGAGTAAGTGAAATTTGAAATGATCCAGCTACAGTTTTCTTCCCCTCCCGCCCGAAGGCCATTATCTCCATATCAAAACGAACGAGGGGAGGCAAAGAAGCCAAACACGCTAAAAAGGATCTCTTTATTTTCCTACACAAGGTCACACCTACTTTTCCGCATTCAAAGGACAACCTCTCCTCACCACCACCACACACACACACACACCCCAATACCCGCAAACAATGTTCTGGGCATTAATCACCATTGCTACATTAACCTGGTAAATTTATACCCTGCCTCCCCCACTGTTGCTTTGACGGCAGGATTTCACACAGCGGGGCGCTCGCTCGCTCTCTTCTCCGCTCTCCCACCGTTCGCACATGTTGGAAGCACCGTAAAACCTGATAACCCACCCGGGGGCTCCCCCATCCTTAACCTACAGCCGCCCGCATGCAAAACCTGCGTGCAAAAAGAAAAAAAGAAAATCCTCTCCTCCCCACACCGCTAAGGAAGGAAGAGGGGGAAAGGTTGCGCAGCGCGTGGCGAGTGACACCCGCCACACACACACACACACACCGCCCCCCCCCCCAGCCTCCCTCCCGGCTGCAACTCAAGCTCGAAGTGGGAGTCGGAGTCCTCCCGGCGTATAAGACGACCCCCCCACTTGGAGGCATGTTTTTCAGGGCAAAAAAGTCGTCTTATACGCCGGCAAATACGGTACTCCTATGTTGCAGGTTTTTCATAGCCCCCATCCTGGCAATGTTTTAATCATTCCTAAAAATCTGATTCTGTCTTCAGGCCCTAGGTTAGATTGTGAATCTTTCAGCTGTTAATTGATTATTTATTTTCTCTTGACTTTTTAAAATGGATTATATATTCTACATTTTTATAGTTCCTACTGCTGTATCTTTTAAACCACCCAGAATCATGCAGATTGAGTCAGCTTACAAATTTGGTAAATAATAAACAAATGCTTAGGCCCGAATTTGTTTATTCTGCAGCCATTCCTTTAAAACTTACTGGAGGAGAGGGGTTTCATATTCTGCCTCATTCAGATTTCACATTTGAGCACATCTCCCCATTCAAGAAAGTCCTCGATTACAACCACAATTGAACTCAGAATTTCTATTGTTAAAAAAGACAGTTGTTAAATGAGTTGTGCCATATTTTACAAACTTTTTGCCATGGTTATTAAGCAAATCACTGCAACTGTTAAGTGAATGATGAGGTTGTTTAGAGAATCTGGCTTCCTCATTGATTTTGCTTGTCGGAAGCCACCTGGGAAGGTTATAGATGGTAAAATGACTCTGGGACAGTGCAACTGTCATAAATACATGGCAGCTTCCAAGCACCCAAATTTTGATCACATGGCCATGGGAATGCTACAGTGATCATATAAGTATGAAAAACGGTCATAAGTCATTTTTTTCAGTGTTGTCGTAATTTCATACAGTCACTAAATGAATGGTTGCAATTTGAGGACTACCTATAGTGGCAAATTACTGTTTTCCTTCTACCTGGCATTATAGTCAAACCCAAGAATTCAGCTAGTAGAAAAGTGAAGTGGCGGGTGTGGTGGTGTTGCATGACAAACTAGTGCAGGTGTTGATTGTATTTTTGGCAGGGCTGATATATTTCTGTCCCTGAGGCTGCAGTCATGTTCTCCTCCACCTACAAATAGATCCTAAGTTTTGAGTAGACATATGTAGGGTTTCACTCATATATAAATTACAGTGCAAGACATTTTATTTTAATCACTGAGCCATTTCCTAGATAATAACATTTAAACAAAAGATGTATTTCCAATAATGCTAAATAGGATTAGGGTCTGGAATGGATGATCTGATAAACTATATTGTGTTCTAAAACAGCAGTAGAATCTTCTGGTCACACAGTATAAAGGAGAAATTAGCAATGTACCACCACACCTTAAATGCTTTAAGCAAGAATAAGTTCCTCCCCCCAGATGAAATTCACAAATATTCTTACTTAAGAACTTCAAAGATTTGGTGGCTAGAGTGCTGAAATCTTGCAAGATTTAGCAATCTTGTGTTACAGTCATTTTTAATTGGATTGAGTACTTGTGCCATCTTGCAAAATTATATTACATTCCTTAGTGCATACGCACGCTATCAGATCTTACCATACAGAAATGAAGGCCCTGTCTGATTTGCTGAATGCATTTATCTCCTTTATTATTTCATTATTCAGATTATTTTAGAATCAGCTATTGAGTAATAACAGCTTTTTTTCTTTCTTTCTCCATCTCTTTTTCTTAGGTTTTGGAGGTACAAAAAGAAGATGAAGTTTGACTTCCACTCTACCTAAGCTAGTGAATAAAGCAACATTTTGACAATTCTGAAACATGTCTTAAGCCTGCTTGCTCGAGTTATAAAATTCTAACTCTATATATTTGTATCTGTGCATCTCTAAAAATGTCGCTAAATTTATTTTGGAACAGTAGCTTTTGACAAAATGGGGAAGCTTCTCAAGTAATTTCTAACATGGAACTGTGTTCCATAGAAAAGGGAAGATAATAGGATAACCTTCTGCAATCTAGTGCCTTTCAGATAGATTGGAATATCTCTGCTAGAAATAATAGCTTGCCATCATGTTGGGGACTAAAGATTGGAGTATCAGTAATAATTATATTTTTAAAAAGTTGGAAATGCCATTTTCTAAGGCAGTGGCCCCCAACCTTTTGGGCACCAGGGACCAGTTCCATGGAGAGAGGTTTTTCTGCAGGCAGGAGGGGGCATACTTTTTCACACTGCCTTGTTTGCATGGACTGGTTTCTGCCATGCCACGCACCAGTGTCGGTCCACGGACTGGGGGTTGGGGACCCCTGTTCTCTGCTAATGGCTATTATACATTATAAAAACAAAGAATGAGATATTACTTGGAATAGTGTACTCTCTGTACTGAACAGATTGATCTAACCAACAGAAGAGAAATCTAGGTCTATTATTTTCTTTACAATAGTTCTTTAGAAAGACCTGAGATAGGGAAAAGAAAGTCAACTAGACAGTAATTCCACTAGATTCAGTAGAATCTGCTTCCATTATGTATATATTGGATGTATATTTTTAATTTGGGGGTTATTAACTACATACAGTTCATTTGATGGAATCTATGGCACAGATATCTTGGAATGCATTTTCAGGAATGTCAGGAATTCACATAGAAGACTTGTTTGTGTGCAAAATTATCCTTTATTAGATCAAGCATTACTTTCTTGGCATGATGGGACATAAATGGTACTATGCATTGGGAACTTATCTTTACTGGGCATCTTGTTTACTTCCAGTTGATGTAATTATTTTCTCTTTCTTTTACATTTGCTCTTTTCTAACCTTCCCAGCATTTTTGTGAACGTTTTCTTAGTTTCCATTCCTGTAGGAAATTAAATTGCTGAGGAAATTCACAGGAGTCCCAAAAGTTTGTATTTAAATTTCAGAATAAAGTAATGTTTGAAAGTATGTCATAGCTTAATTTTAATATTAATTCTTCATTAACACTTTTTAAATATTTAAACAATGAGTGAATGAAGCAGGCATACAAAGAAACTCATAATTGTTCAAAAAGCAAATTAATGAAATTCAAATGCATAAAATCACATTAAAGAATCAACACATTGACAAAATTATAAGCATAACAATAAAAATACAGTAATAAAACGCAGGGACATTTTGATAAACAGAAAAATTCCTCAAACAATCAAACTCTCAGAACAGTTGAATTAACTTAATCCAAAACTCTGGCATCTCTTGTATTACCTTGACAATATTACTATAACTCCAGAAACTGGTTTTTTAAAAGAACAAGTAGATCTTGCTCTATTGTGGTCAAATGCTGAAAACTAATCTATTTAAGGAAAGCAATGGAAACCTCTGGAATCTTCCTGCTGACATAGCATAATATTAACATGAAAGCTGCTCTTGAATGCTTTCTGACTGAAGGGGAGAGGGAGAGAGAAATGCACACACACACACACACACTTATTTCAAGGTGATGCCCCTTGGGAACTGGATTGTATTAATTTTATTTAGTGGTGGAGATAACTTCAGTGAATGATTGAAATGATTATGATGGCATTGTCCTGGGAGCAAGCTCTAACAGAGCATTGAATTATTTCGGACTAGTCCAGAGGTTGGATCAGAAAGACTGCCAGATCAGTATTCTGCTTAAGTACTGGGAAGTTACATGTCAGCCTGCTGGTTGCACTGAGGCAATTCCCTCCATAAATTTGAGCAGAGCTTTGGCCCAGAATTTATGAATGTTTGTTGACATCACAGGAGAGTAGATCTGGTTGGAGATTTTCCTGCTTGGGAATTGCAGCAGCATTAATTTGGGCTCCTGAAATACAGCCTTCAGCAGACCTGAGAACAATGATCCGAGGAATGGTCGTGAGAAGTCTGGGTAGTAGGAGCGGGGTCATGCCAAATAACGTGTTATTGGTCTGTGCCTTAATCTAGCATTGTGGCTAAATGTAGATCGCCTGCTCGAGTCTTTCTGAAAATCTGTGTTAATGTACTAACAGCTAGGATTGGCTCTTGGATCACCTACTTAGTTATTAAATCTGGAACACACCCTAGAATGGACTGGAGAATTGGGAGGTAGAGACAGAACTGTGTCATTAGGTAGCTCTGATAGCTTGGAGCAAACAGGGTTGAAGTAGGTTATGTGATTAAGGAAATGACAATAGCTGGGACTCCCTATTGATACCTGACAAGGAGCAGCTTTTGGGGTGCTGTGTTCTGATGGAGATAGGGTGTGCAATTTGGATGTTTAATGGAATATGAAGTCAAGGGGTGTCTCATGATCTGGGAGGAGAGCAGGGTTTGGGAGAGATTTAGAGGGGGGGGAGGCAGACACCAACATCAGGATAGTGAAAGGAAGCAACTTCATAGGGATTTGTGGATGGACCACCATGGGAAAACAGTTGATAATCTGTTACTTATCCTGATTTCTGCCCCTAGTACCGTATTCACTTTTAAAGCTCCATCAGAGCTGTGGTGGCACAGTAGTTAGAATGCAAGTACTGCAGGCTGCTTCTGTTGACTGCCGGCTGCCTGCAATTTGGCAGTTCGAATCTCACCAGGCTCAAAGTTGACTCAGCCTTCCATTCTTCCGAGGTTAGTAAAAGTCTAGGTGCTATTGCTATCACTAGATCCCCTGTGGCCTTTTATCTAGTTGTTCCTCTATGAGATATGCCCACTTGGGTTTTGGGTTTGGGAGCAGCCAAACTTTGGAGTGAGGTGACAGTTGTCATCTGAGAAGGACTTAACCACTTTCAGAAGTTTTGCACTGCAGAAAACTAGGAGACCCTGTGGTTGAAACTGATCTCAAAATGTTTTATTATCTTCGCTGCTGTGTTATGGTGACATCTCACCTGAGCTGCTTAAATGCTCTTGTATAATATAGAATCGGGGGGGGGGGGGGGGGAGGTCAGGAATTCGTGACCAGCATGGCAACTATGGATCTGACTTAAATTGCTGAGTGCCTGATGCACATAGGAGGTTGCATATAAGATATAATGTTTTTTCTTTTTGTCTTATGGCAACCGTGATATGAGCAGTTGTGATATAAGGTGGCAAATCTTATCATCAGTGCTTTGTTATTGTCAATTACCACTGATGAATCCAGGACAGAGGTGTTGCACTCATTATAGACTAATTGCTGTTCGATTTGCTAATGCTGTCCTCTACTTGCCAGGGGGAACTTAGACCTGTTTGATCAGTCTATCTCTAGGCGACTAATGGACCTTGGTCAGTTTCAGAGGGAGCTTAAAGAACAGGTAGGCAGTTTCACTAAGGCATTATTGGGTAGCTGGAATGGGGGTGTAGCTAGGCCTTGGATTGGGGGTTGCCCCTATTTAGCCTCTACTCTTTAGTGATCCCATTTGGCTCTGGTTTTCTAAAGAGCCCCAAGAGATGAAACACCACAAGAAGTTATAAAGTTAGTAGAGAAAGATGAATAGTAAATCCAATTGGACTCCTATAGTATGAGCCTATGTTAGGGATTAAAAGTAAAGGTAAAGGTTTCCCCTGTCCAGTCATTTCCAACTCTAGGGGGTGGTGCTCATCTCCACTTCTTAGCCGAGGCAGCCAGCACTGTCCAAGGACCCTTTCGATGGTCATGTAGCCAGCACGACTATAGGGCACACCGAATGCTGTTACCTTCCCACCAAAGTGATACCAATTTACTGTATATACTCGAGTATAAGCCTAGTTTTTCAGCCCAATTTTTGTGCTGAAAAAATCCCCCTCGGCTTATACTCGAGTCAGATTCCCCTCTGAAAAAAAAATGGTGTGGAGTCGCGGCCTCCGGCGGCAGCGACTCCCAACAGCCCCAGCCGGGAAGGGAAAGGCAAAAAGCGCTTTGCCTTTCCCTTCCCGAGGCGGCGGGACTGGGGCCGCGCCGGCGGTAGTGACTCCTGACTCAGGGGGGCCTCCGAGGGAGGGGAAGAGAGTGACTCCTGCCTCCCGCTGTCATCATCATCTTCTTCTTTTGGGTTAGTGAATCAATTAAACCTTTCATGATAGTGAGATCGTTTCCCAAATTAATTATTTTTATTTTTGAAATTTACCAGTAGCTGCTGCATTTCCCACCCTCGGCTTATACTCGAGTCAATAAGTTTTCCCAGTTTTTTGTGTAAAATTAGGTGCCTCGGCTTATATTCGGGTCGACTTATACTCGAGTATATACAGTACTTGATTTGCCAGCCATCTGTGAACAACTGGTAGGTGGGCAAGAGTTTGGGGCAAAGAACAGGAGCTCACTCTCTTGTGTGGCACTCAGTTCTTGAACCCAGGCTGTCAGCTTTCCAGCTGACAAGCTCAGATGAGCCATCGCGTCCCCTATGTTAGGAATTACACCATGGCAATTAAGAGTGGCTGAACGTACCTATTTTTCTGCTGTTCACAGATGGCTGGCAGTGGCCCCCTTTAAGGTGAATTTGTGTTTGCTAGGGAGAGATGGTCACAAGAACATCTTTAGAGCCAGTGTGAAGAATATTCTTGGCATCTGACAGTTAAAATCACTCATACCTGTTGAACTTGGACTGCTTGGAAAAATTCAGCCCACTTGACTAAGGCATAATTCAGTTCAGTTATCTGGGAAGAATGTGATAACTCCCAAAGGAGTAAACAGTTCTTTTGGGTCTGTTAGCCCAGCCACCATATACCTTTCTGATTGGTGAGGGAGAAAACGTGTGGTTGAATCCATATGCCATTCTCTCTGAGCGACAGGTGCTTGGGGCCTGCCTTGAAGGAGACTGTAATGTGCTTCCTTCTCAAGAAACAATTGTTAGACCCAAATGAACCATGACAATTTTTGCTGTCTCCAACTTCCCCTGTCTATAACTTTAGAGTACCCGGTCTAAAACTTTATAGAGTGCCTGGTAAAAAATTGATTATCTGTGTTATAGGCTATGGGATAGAGCTGAGAAGTACTGATCTCAGTTATCTCTGGCATAACCAGGCAGGAGTGGTACAACTATCTTGGCTATCATATTTAATAAATGCCTAATTCAAGATTTAAAACCTCTTTCTTCAGCTAGTTAATGGCTGGTCATGAGAGAAATTCAGCATATTTGGCAGTCTGAAACTATATCTTAAGATTGGCTTTAATGTTATAAAATCACTTATTCAAACTGAATTTTCTCAGAGGTTTATGAAAGGTTTTCCATCATAATAGCAAGGAAACTATTTGAAAAGTCATCATGACCACAATCTGTTGAACCACTATCCTATTGTGAGGCACAATTTAAGGAGAGAGATCACAGAATACTCTAAATTCATACAGGTGAAAACTAGTCCCAGTTATTTTACTAAACATCTTTTGAATGCTTGTTGGAATGTGTTCCAAGATCCTTTGGAAGGTATGAAGTCCAACAGCAGTAAAATGAGAAAGAATAAATGTAAAATGAGAAAGAATAAATGACTTTTTCTTTTCCATTCCTTCTTTTGAATTTGTCTACCTTAAGTATTACAGCAATAGCAATAGCACTTAGACTTACATACCGCTTCACAGTGCTTTACAGCCCTAAGTGGTTTAGAGTCAGAATATTGCCCCCAACAATCTGGGTTCTCATTTTAACAACCTAGGAAGGATGGAAGGCTGAGTCAACCTTATCCTAGTTTAGACATGATAGAAAGCTGAGATAAACAATGGCTTATATTCTAAGATGAGTTCATAGAAGGAAAATTTCCCAGACCATCCCCTACAACATGGGTGTCAAACTTGCATCATCACGGCGGCTTCATGTGACGTATCATAACTTTTCCTCCTTTTGCTAACCTGATATGGGTGTGGCCATCATGTGACACATCCAGCCTGCAGGCCACAAGTTTGACAACCCCGCCTTACAATTACTGTGTTCTTTCCTCTTCCCCAAAGCTTCTATAAAAAGTAGGAAATTATGATTTACTCTAATTGGTTGGAATTTAACTTGCTTAACAGCAGTTTAATTCTCACCA